CTCATGTTGCAATCTCCATTCCGGCGCTCGCGCTCATTAAAGTCCATTAGCGCGAGCGAGAGGACCTACGCCTTCCGCCACTCGTTAACAAACCGCGCAAAAACAAAATGCACGACCCTCGGCGAAAAACATGAAAGATTTAAGAAACAGTCATACACCTCTGCCGTACAGCATTTGCATATTCATCGCGCGGGCGAGATAACCACAAAGCAGCTTGGCGTTCTCGCATCGATTTGTTAAGCGAGACGTTGACCCCATACGCACGCTGGCTTTTCGTAGCGAGCTTATTGCTCCGTTTCCGTTTCCCGGCGCGACGAATTAATTGTTATCCGCGACCGAATCGCCTGATAAACCGACGCGCGCACGCCAAGTTTTGCTACGCGTACCTATGTATTGTTGCTCCTTTTCAGGAAGAAAGCGCGCGCGCGCCAACCGGGCATTACTTAATGGCGCGTGATCAAGTCGCCGTCTCTGCGTTCAAATTTATATAGAGGGTGTAATGATATTTAACGCGTATTGTTTGCTGCTCGAGATAAGGAAGGACAGAGCGAGTCGAATAAGCGTGTAGACTAACATTCCGAATGGTTTGTAAGAAACTTTAAGGATTACATCAGCTTACGGACTATGCGCCGGTCGTATTGACACGTCAATTATTATATGAAATATTATTTCAAGCAATTATTCTCTTGTCCATTATGCAATTTGCGATTTTTTCATAGGAAGCTCAGCCTCATTACTCCCTTTATCTTGGAGAAGCCTATATTTAAATAAACAACGCTCAGAAAGTATATTACCATTCGGTTTCCTGTCGACCTTACATGCTTTTACTCATATTCAAAGTATATTTTTATGACTGTACTTTTATTACGTTAGCGAAAAATCACTCGGGTAATATTCATCAGAAAAGCCTCAGCAAACTGAGAGAGAGAGAGAGAGAGAGAGAGAGAGAGAGAGAGAGAGAGAGAGAGAGAGAGAGAAGGAAGCAAGAACAGAAGAAAAAAAATAGAGTAGCAAACATAAACTTAAGTGTAGCCAAGTAGACACGCATTAGCTTAGCAGCGGGCGCCTAATAGCTCCGACCGAGCATAAACTTTGTTTCCCATCTCCGGATCACGGAAGACGATAAAAAGCTTGCGCACCAATAAAACTGCCTCGGCTGCGGACGTCCCTGTTGTTGCTGCTGCCTTTTTTCTCTCGCCAGTGATGCCACAAAAGATAAGGCATTCGCCGCAATCCGTCGCGTGCGCACGAGCGAGCCTATCGCCTTGCACCTCTCATTATCATTCGGAAACTCCTTTGTCCGCGCGCAAGCCAACTTATGCTCGTACTTTAATGCACTTGTCTACCCCGATCGAGCTTCAGTCGTCAAAAGATTTTTTACGAGGTTATGGAACTCTGCGTACGGCGCTTTCAACATTCTTTTGCCCAAACACACAACGGCTCTATTCCTCTCTCGACAGCCAATCTTGGCTACTGCTATACCTTGTACGTTGATGAAGTATCGCGCGAGTCTCGGCGGGAAATGTGCTTTCCGCCGTATCGGAGATGTCTGCTAGAATTCTTTTTTTTGGTTGTCCTCGTAAAACAGTTTATGTTTTTTTAATGTAGGCGTATGAACATGAATCCCTCGTTACTTTTCTTTTCTTTTTTAATCAAAAGTTTGAAGCAAAAATTGAGTGTGACTCGACTTATGTCGAAAAATTCAATGACGTAATTGTAAAGTGATTTTTCTCAGTCAAATTCGATCGATTCATGACCTCCAAATTTTTTTTTCCAAGAAATATTAAAGACGTACAACGTGAATACATTTGTCGTAGTTATACAAAGTCACTGAAAAAATGTAAAACAACGCATCGTTACAAATCATTCTGACGTACAGAATTATTATTTTCTGGTGGCACAGGCGAAAAAAACAGCTTCTACATAAAAACCAGAATATTAAATAGAAGATCCGTGGATGCGCGTGTGAGCGCGCACTTTTCTTAAAAAAGGCACACAAAGCATAATAACATAAAGTGGGATAACTCATGCGCGTACTTTAATCAAAGTTAATTAAAAAAAAGTCCCGTCGGACCGTACACACGCACGCACGCACGCACGCACTCATGCACGCACAGATAGAAAAGCATTAAACGTGCATTTATCCTTGCGAGCAAATAATAATCTCTCTTCGCATACACTCGCGGTAATACCCGCGTATTCGCACAATGATGCGCGCAGACTATGCGCGCGGCTTAGCGGATTCTTTTTCATTATCGGTAATTAAGCGGCGCTCACCCGGCATTGTCGATCGCTCCGAACAAAAGTGCGCGGCCTGGCAAAGAAATTAAGGAAGAGAGGAAAAAAAAGGATTCGTTAAGCGCTAAACCGGCATACGTTCCCCTCCTTTTTCCCTCCTTTATAGAATTCCAAGCGTTTGTGCGTTTGCGGCGCGCAGCTTCCCTAGCCCTCCGATGCGGCTTATAGGCCCCTCGCAACAGCAATTTTTCGCTAGCAAGAACAAAAAAGTTAATAAAGCCAAGAAAAGGCCGTGTGTATTATACGCGGACAATAAAATACTGATAAGGAAGCGCGTTGTTCACGCTGAAAATTGCTTATTTGCGCCTAAGACTTTAAGACAGTTTGCTCACGTTTCGGCTATTTTTGCCGTTCTCCTCTGCCCCTTCAACAAGTAATCAGTGTAAATGTGGTACGCGAGACGTGCTTACGTACGAGATTAAAGTATGGAAAATGTCTGCTCATGAAACAATATATTACCGATGGACAATCAATGTTGTTTGTAGGTGTGACGTTGATTATGTGTTAACAAACAAAGCTGTTAAGTCATTGAAGAACTCCACAGGGTGAAAAAACAAACATAATGCATTTCAAAAAACACATATTAGTGCGGGACCATTTCTTCAAGAATACTTATTCCTCTCAGTAACTGCTATCCGCGCCATTTTTATTCTCTGGTATTGTTGACGACCACTCCGAGCTGCCAATAATTTTCCAGCGCACCGCGTAAATCAAAATTCGTGCGCGGAATGCATATTTGAGTGACGTGTGTAACCAATTTTTACATCTCGCTAGTGGGGGATTGATCAAGTTCTATACGAGAGAAATGCACACCACCAAGAGGATTGATTGCCGGTTCTTTAACGGATACGAATGGCCATGGAGTGGTTTCGATTGTCGAAACGTTAATTTCTTTTTGTCAGTTTTATTGTTGCTCAGACGGGTTTATTGAAAACTGCAGGCTAGCTTTTCAAAAAGCCTAATTTTAAATATTCAAATGTTGCAGGAAATTTAATGGGATTACACTTCTCTTTATTAATTATAGAACTGTATAGGAGCAAACAAATTCGTTTTACTTTGCTTTTTTGGTACAATTTACTTCAGTGAACAAATTAATTACTAATGTAAATAACTGTGAACGTGTGCTTGTCTACATTTCGTTTCAAAAGTTTTCAAATGTTCTTTCTTTTGAAGACACGTATCAAGTAATCACATTAAAAAAAACATTTGAGTGCGCGTCATATACGAGACAAGATAAATTTAGTGTTAATCCAGCCTTCTATATTATCCAAATAGATCGCGTGCAAGCTAGTACTCGTAATAATGTCTGTCTGCTCAATTATTCAGCAGATCTAAATTTCGCCAACTGGCCGCCACCGAAATAACAAAAAAACCAGAAAATAGTAGAAGTTATCAAACTGTCGGAGCCCTCTCACGTATTTGCTAAGCTTTCTAGTATTATTGATTTGGCAAACAGGTGAGACGAACAAAAAAGACCCTTCGTTGTCGGTAAACTGACTCACCTGTATATAACTACGTCTCTGGGCAAATGTTAAATTGCGTGAATGCCGACAGCTGCGAATATACAATCGATTCTTCCAGTTTTTTTTTGTTCTCGCGTGTAAGGCTTTTTTCTAATGAACGATGCTTATTACGAATCAGGCAAGTTGGCTGTTGGTTCTTAGAATCGACCGATTGAATTTACATTAAAGACAAAGTTTACTTTGCTGAGCGATGCTTGTAGATTGACAGCAAACGGTAATCTTTCTATTCTGTAAAAAAGGAAATTATAAGTCGTAAATGAAGCATCAAGAAACGATGATGAATAAAATTGAACGTAGTAATTTGTCATGAGATATGAAAGTTTTATCTTTAGATCATTAAGAAAGAATGAAGCCTGGGAAAGCAATTTTCCACGCAAGCTGTGCTTAATGACATTGTCCTCCCACGAAGCAAATGATCTCGCAAAAATCAAAGCGTGAAAGGTCAGACGAGCAGAAGTTACAAATGGAAAATCTCGCCGTGACAACTCGTGAGATTAAGTTACGAGATCCGATCGGACACTCAATTATCTCAGTCCCACGTAGGACTCGTATAAATACAGTGGATACTGTTGAAGAGAGAAAAAAAGCCCATCGTTTATCTTGGCGTCGCATCGGTCACGTGGCAGGACTGGCGCGAATTAATAATGGAACGTCAGAGAGACGTCAAACGGATAATTCGATGGGCGCGAAGAGGCCACGTGCCAATATCGTTACGTCGAACCGTCGTGTACTCGTACCTGCATCCCATTGTTCCCGAGAACCGAGGCGCAAGCATTAGGCATGTTTAGGCTGCGTCGAGACCCAACTAGAGTCCATTTGTTAATGTTGCTTTCAATTATGGAACTGTATTAATCTTCATTTAGGGGTGCCTCTCTCTCTCACTCTCTCTCTCTCTCTCTCTCTCTCTCTCTCTCTCTCTCTCTCTCTCTCTCTCTCTCTCTCTCTCTCTCTCTCTCTCTCTCTCTGCTACGTTCTGGAAATCGGAGAGGATGATGACCTCCATACTTTCGGACAGAATAACATGAGATTTTTATATTCTTAGATCATTGTATAAAAATTTGTTTTTATACTTATATATTAAAATCAGATTGTTACGAAAAATAAGTAAAATTTGCTCTGAAGAATGCGTGGCAAAATATTTATGTTAAAATTACTGGAATTTTTAGATCTATTATTTTTAATGAAAAACTTTATTTTACTCAGAATGTATTCTAGATAATGTCTAAATATAGATAGTTTCACTTATTATTTCTTCAGTGTTTCCGAAATGTACATATTATTTAAACTAATAGTTACAGGTATGCTTATGTAAGGTCAACAATGATACAAATGTTAGACAAAATTGATTCCGGTAATAATATAAATGCACAATACTATTGTGCTAAAACTTAGGCGTATTTTACAAATAAAAAAATATTTTAATACGGTTTATCTGAATTTTAAAATTAATGAAATTATTATTTAGAATTTTTATATGTATAGGCTAAATGTCTTCTTATCCCGCTTTACCTTTAGTATGCCAACATACGCATACTTAAATTAGCTTTTTTAATTATGACGATAGTCGAAGAACTTGACCACATAATGTGTGTGGATTTAATACAAACAAGTTATTATGAGGACGCTCTTTTTGAGAAACTGTTTTGATTATTTCTTGTCCCATAACACCGCCTACTATAGCACAAACTGGACTAATCTGACCATACAGATCGCTTCTGTAAATATTATTTGTTTTTAGAAAGTGTTAAAGGTTTATTACTTAATACCGAAATTCACGTCACTTCAAAAGTATGATACTTACTTAAGCAAACGGTTTATTGTCTCACCAAGTTTATACTTTTTTATGACTGCTTCTGCTTCATCCTTCAAAATACTTGCGTTTCTTTCATTTGGCAATGGATCTCTTTTGTGCTTTTCTCGAAAATTCAACAGAGCTGTAGTTTTAGAGAAAAGTTTATGAATAAATATATTTCAACTAAAATTCTGACTGACTTTAAAAATATAGAGACTACTTACTAAGCAACAGGTAGTAAGCTTCAGAGTCTTTTGGCAAATTCTCGGCATCTAAAACTTTTTCAATAGGAACAAACTTCTCAAAACTTTTAACAGTAACACTGATCTTTTCAAACTTTTCCTTTCCAGTAGGTTCTCCATCTTCTAGTTCTCTAACTTTCTTAGTTTGAACGACATCTCTAAAATTATTAATATTAAAATACATAAATTATCATAACATTATAAGAAATTGTAAATAGTGAATATTATATAATCATATACACAGTGAGTAACATACTCTGCAAATTCATGTGTTATTAAATCAGCAAAAGTAAATCCAAATGTCCCCCAGACATCTCCAGCAAAAAATTTTTTATTATATTTGCGACAAATAGTGTTGATCTTTTTCATTTGTTCAATAGTACATTGAGTAACAGAAATTACATCGAAGTTTTTGAAATATTCTTCTGATTTTTCATCTATATTAGTAGGATCAGCAATAACTTCCACCATAGGATTCAGATTTTTTGCTCGTTGCAATGATGCTTGGGCTCTCTAAATTCGAGTGTTGAAAATATAGTTTAGTTATTTCTTTGAATTTAAAAATTTTTTTTAAATTATAAGGCAAAATGCAAAATTCTATAACCTAACTTAAATTGAGTACAATATGGTCACTTAATCATATTATTTAAAAAAGTGTTTACATCAATTTTTAATCTTTCTGTATCCTGGAGAGATATCTTTTTTCATCTCTGAAAATTTTGTCAGCTATGCTTAAAGAGTATAAAAACTGAACCCCATTTAAACATCTAGTAAAATTGTGCACTTATGCCAAACTATGAGTCCACTTACATTTTGACCTTTTTGGTCTTGTGGAATTAAAAATTGAGAGCATATATCCAGTGTTGTAGCTTGACGATGATCAAGGAATGTCACAGATTTTACTCCAGCAAGTATGATATTTTTTGCTACTTCTGCTCCATAGCCATTCAAACCTACTAATAGAACACTCGCAGCTCGAAGCCTATAAAATAATATTTTAATTAATAATCTACATTTATAAGTAGATGGGAATTCATTATTTAACTAAGAATACAATACTCTTTTGAGTACTTGTACTACATTTTGGGTATTTACATAAAATACAATAGAAAAGTAAAAACGTATCAAACAAATGTAATTAAGATTGATGTTGCATGTAAATAGAAGTAGTGTCTTTTTGTAATCACTATATAAGTTATAAATTGTAATTAAATTTTTTTTGTGTTACTTGAAAATGTAATAAAAAGCCGGCAAAGCTATAGGTTAGGTCTTAACAAGATTTACCTTTTCTGAGATTCCAGACCCCACAAGCGAATTTGCCGATCGTACAATTCAGCTTCAGCGTCAGTTAATTCAGAATTATTCTTTTGATCAACCATTTTGCAATACTTTTTATTTACTGTTTATGTTATATTTTATATTATATTTATATTTACTTATTTTATTTACATATAAAAGGAAGGAAGCGTAGTTCCGTTTAGGTACCGCTGTGAACAGTGTTGATTTCTATTAAATTAAACTAATTACCAACCTTGTCACTATGAACTTTCTAGTAATACAGGGTTGGGCGATTCTGTCAAAAAGCTTCCAGAAGTTGACTTCAGACCTCACAATTTTCGTAAGGCGGGAGTAAAAATTGCGAGGTCTGAAGTCAACTGCTGGAAGCTTTTCGACAGAATCGCCCAACCCTGTAGTGGTAGTACTGAGTTTTGGCGTTTTTATATTGCAGCTATGTTGATACTTGACAAAGTTCGCGGAATTGGGGGCGTCTAACCAAAACAAATAGGCTTTTAAAAAAGGTCTACTCTAAATCACTTATTTCTATTAATAATTATTATAAAATGGAATTCAAAATAATAAATTAAATGTAAAAGTAAGGTAGATATCTGCTAGTGAATTAGTGACTATATATTCATCGATTCAAGTAAAATACCATCAATTATCCAACAATGCTTTGACATTAAATTATCTACACTTTCAAAAGAGACATTGTCGATTGTTTTGTTTTGTTTGTTAATTTTAGAATCTCTCTTATTACTGTTTTCCATCAATTTACATAATTATTTATATTTTATGCAAGTATAGAAATTAGTGAGTTTTATTTATAAAAGTTTTATTTTTACATTTGATATCTATGATGCTAGTTCACAAGTTATTTACAAGAAACAAGATAGTTCTGTTTAACTGAACCATTAATTAAATTTATAACAAAAATGGATTGACTCGAATAGACCTTAATTTTTTAAGAAACTTGTTTTCATATTTAATAAGTCAAAAAACAAGTATAAAATGGATGAAGAGTGCATAGAAAAAGTATTTATATTTAAATTTCCAACATGTACAACAGACCAAGAATACTCATTGGAAATACCAATAAAAATTCCTTATCAAGGATCAATAAAAGAGCTTGTTCATAGAATCATGCAATCTTTCAAGCTGCCATGTTATGTTGAAATTGATCTATTGAACTCATTGGAATCTGGTATTAAAGAATGGACTTTACAGTTTCATGATGATAAAGCAGAAAAACTTATAAGTGCTGTTAAAAATGGAGACCTTTATGTTGAAGAAATTATTAAAAAGTGGGAGAAACTTTACAAAGAAACAACATCAGAGTATGCTGAACCAATTGGGACTACAGATGAAGAACTCTTTGCAGCAGCTTATCATCGATTAGTACATTCACCATCTTTAGAACCAATTTTGCAAGCTGAACATAAGTTTGGTAAAGATGTTACTGAAGTTATTACAATGAGAGACAAAGACTATGAGCATCTTACTGAAAAGTAAGTATAAAATTTTACTTTCAAAACTAGCCTTGTACAAATTTTTAAGACTGTTATGTTATAGACAAACTGAGGAAATGCGCTCAGCTGTGGAAAAATTAGAAACTGGATCAACTGAGAAATCTATTAATGATATGGCTGGAAGACATTTTGAAGAACAAAGTTTATTGCAAGGTCACTGGGGATCTAAAGTAGATGCATTGAAACTTGAGCAGAGGAGACAGTATCGTAATTGGATAATGAGAATGTTAGAGGAGCAGCAAACAAATATGGTTCCAACTCCTGTGTAAGGCATAAAAAGCTTTATAATTTAGACATTATCATTTAAAATAATATAAAAGTATAATATAACAATGAAAAATTATTTTAGAGAATCACCATTGGTTCCTTTACCACCACTTTATCCCAACTTCAATGATACACTTCAAAGTGATGAAAAAAGTACATCTGATTACCAGCAACTTGAAGAAAGTTTTACTATTCATTTAGGTTCTCAAATGAAACAAATGCATAATATTAGAATATTAACTGGTGATGTTCTTGACTTTTGTAGAACAAAAAACTGTGATTCTGAGTATATACATTTTTCATTTTCATTTTAAGGAAGACAAATGTAAATTATACTAATAATTGTGATGTAAATAATTTTAGAAGTGCAGACCCTACTCCACAGAGATTACAGACTGCATTAGGATTATATTCAAATGATTTATGTGGCTTGGTACTATTAAGTGATAACCATTTAGGAAGTTACACAGGAGTCACTAAAGGTCTTTATATTATATCAAATGTTTGAAATTTAGAAAGAATAAATAATATCTTGCTATATAATGTTTATAGAATTGATTTCCATATCACAATTAACAACTGAATTCCATTTTCCACCAATTGATGAACAATTAGAAAAAATACGGGAAGACGTGAAAGATGCAGTTGCTTGGAGACAAGTGCATCATAAAGAAGACAGTGATTTACAAGTAAATAAATACTATACTTTATTTAATGCAATATTAAAATGTATTTTTTATACTTAGCAAACAAAAAAATCTACATCGAGTAAAACATTACAAATGGGAGATGTATTTATCACGAGGCATTCCAATTTGGCTCAAGTTCACGCAGTTTTTCACATGGTAGTTAATGATAAATTAAGATCAGGTATACTTCAATTGGTTATTAAATGTGATAAAATAAATGTGTAGAATAGTACTGATTTTCTTATCATTAATTTTTAGGTGATATTAATTCAAGACATCCAGCTATATTAGGCTTGAGAAACATTCTAAAAACTGCTTGTTGCAATGATGTGACTACTTTGACAATACCCGTCCTCTTAGTCCATGAAATGACAGAGGTGAGATTATGGTTTCATTTATTTTTATTATACGCACATAGTTACATATTCAGAAAAGTATTATTATTGAATTTTTTATTTTTAGGACATGACAGTAGCATGGTGTACTAAGAGAGCTGAACTTGTATTCAAGTGTGTAAAAGGATTTATGATTGAAATGGCTTCTTGGGGAGGTGCAGAATTAAAAAATCTACAGTTTTTAGTTCCAAAAGTATTATCAAAATATTCATATTTTATATAATATACTCAATTTAAACGTATATCATGGAGTTTATATATTCTTTCATATTGTTTCCAGGGAATGTCTGAAGAAGTTTTTGGAACATTAGCAACGATGCTACCTAGTATATTCCGGGTATCAAATCCTCTGGTTTTTAAAGCTACCAGTACACCGCAAACACCTAAAAAGTGATACTAAATGATTAGTTAATGTAAGATGAAGATTGCAATAGACAAAATATATCTATTATATACAATTTATATGTTTAAATTATACAGACAAAATAAATTTGAATTATTTATTTTGAAAAAGACATTATTGAATTTTTCATCAACGCTTCATAATAGAAATAAGTGTCAGTAATCGGTGGCAAATAAATAATACTTATTTTTGTAATAATGTTGTTTTATCATGATTGATTGAATTTACAGGAATTTTTACAAACTCACAACTATTATATCACGTTTTTACTATAAAATTACGACTATCACGTGTCGCTTTTATTATATATAATAACAATATGTAAACGCTTCTACATTATTTTAACGTTTATGCATCCTACTTATCTATTCGAGTCTCTTCGTTACATTCGAAAATTAATCTTTCTAAATAAAAACAATTTCATTCAAATAGATTTATTTTGGATAATTGTAATAATAAAGTTCCTACAAAAAATCGAAGTTGTATAAATCATATCATTATTTCAATATTTATGTTATATCACGATTACAAGATCCTAACATTTTTTTTGTTTAGTCTGTTTAAATTTCTGGTTTTTAAGTAATTTTTAAGCAATAATTATAATTTCGATAAACACAAAGTAATTATCATTTTCTACAATTTACTAGTGGATAATGGAAAATTCAAGGATGAATATTCTACGTGAATAATCATTAAAAGAAGATACGTGAAACTTTGACTCAATTTTTACTCTAATTATAGTAACCGTTTCGCAATAAATGATATCATTGTATGAGTATAAGTTAATTGAAAAACACGCGCAATCTAGAATGCGATTAGTTGCAGAGAAAACAATCTATCGTGTCGAAAGTTGAATTTAGCACAATGCACAACATTAGTTGATATATTTATTAAACTAATTGTTGGTATATATCTAGAAGAAATAAGTTCGTATATAAATCGCTCGTGGTAAGCGCAACTATTTCGTCGTAATCATGATTAAAAGAAATAATCTTTATAGGTTTACTATAGAGATAAGAGAAATAGTTATCACTATAGCTAAAAATGTTTGCAGGCTTAACAATTTAAAATTTTTCTTTAAAATGTAACTTTCATTGATTTATTTAAACAACAAGTTTACTAACGATAAGCCAGAAATTCAATTAAAACGATTTATCATTGTCAGTAACGCATAAATTTCAACGCGGGAAGTTTCAAATTGCAAAAGCGTGAACAATTTAATCCGCCCCTTCCAATCGACGTCAATATCGCGATCGATTGCTTGTATCCCAGAGACTTGGCGAATGAATTAATCTGAAATTATCTCCTCAGCAGCAATAGCGGTCATGGTACTGAACTCCTGACCTGTCTGCCGCCGACGAATTCTCTTTGCCGTTCATTTGGACCGTCGATCGGTGCACTTGGATTAAATCGAAGCATCTCGATCCATTACAAAATTCTATCTATTTATACTATATATTTAGCTCTTTTACATTTCAAGTGAAACAAAGTTTAATAACAATAGAATAATGATGTTCAAGTTAATTTTTAGTGCATTTATGTTATTCCAGTGGGAATATTGCTTTGGAGGATTTATTTCCACTCCGAAAACGGTATGAAAATAATTTTGGCTTTTACAAATATTTTATTATAAATTATGATCACGTTGACCGTTATTTGTTAATCCTTTTTTTTTTTTTTTAAATCTGTTATATCAATAAACTTGGTTTAAATATTTTTTACAATGATTTTTCTATTCACCATAATTTTATTGTATTTTGTATGCTAATTGATAACGTAATAGTTATAAAATATATTAACAGCTTGATTTGTCAAATCGTGGAATCACGAGAGAAGATTTTTTCACCAAAATACAGTTTTCTAATGATATGAGAGAAGTAACAGAACTTATTCTTCGAGGGAATGAACTTGACCGTTTTATTGATTGCTCTACATCACTCAAAAGTTTGGAAACGTTGGACCTATCATACAATAAATTGGAAACGTTTTTCTTTCTATGTTCAGAGGAAGAGACATTATTGTCGCTAAACGTTAGTCATAACAACATTTATTACATCGATGACAAAGCCTTGAGTTATAAAATTATTCAATTGAAGACTTTGGATGTTTCCTTCAATGATATCTACGTCGTGAACGATACGATGCTACAACATATGAAGGTATGATTATATTACTGTTTAGCGTGTATGAGAATAGTTATTATATTACTGAGACAGAAGTAGATTTGAAATTGTATTTTTGTATCTATTTGATACTGTAGTAGTGAATAATCTCGTTAATTCTAACGAATGTTTTCACAACGATATTAGTTGCAATTCTTGAAATTACAAGGGTTTTAATTTCCAATTGAATAAAGTAGTACAATATTACTATAATTGTTAATAAGAGCGCGGGTACGACATGTTTAAATATTTAAATATTCAACATAATATTCATATAAACGACAACAATTTTTAAGACACGTTTCGCAAAAATGTGCTCGAGTATTGAAAATAAGATATTAATGGAAAAAAACACCTGATAAATAAAAGAGCAGCTTTTAACAGCAGTAATATCAGGCTATTAAACTGATTTTGTATTATCTGTTCATAATTTTGCCTCTTTAGCTCAAATAAAAATTAAAATCATTTGTTAAACTTATTATTCATTAAGTTCAAAAACTTTGTTTTCGTGTCGTAATAATTTTAGAAATTTAAAATAACTTGTACATAATTATTGCTTTTATCTTGATATGGACTGGAACATTCATGAAGCTGTAAGAATCATACTTATTTTAATTATAATTTCATAGTATATAATGACGCTAGTGCGAGAAAGTGATATAATCCTCGTGTGGCCTCTTCAGCTTTACTTCGCTTGGACAAAACGTCCACTGGAGGCTCAAATCACTTTCTAACATTAGCATCGAAATATATCAATTTCGCGACAGATTGTCAAAGAAATGAAGAATAAATTTTTAAATATCAATGCACATACTTTTGGCTTATTCTTCTAAAAAGTTTTTTTAATTATATTGTTTTACTTATTTTCAGAATTTGGAATTTCTTTCATTGGCAAGCAATCCCATACAAGAAATGGATCAGTATGTCTTTCAGAACTTGACGAAACTGACACATCTGAATCTTAGAAATACATCCTCTTTATATTTCTCGTCATCAATGTTTGAACCACTTATTAATCTTGAGTATCTAGATCTGTCTTGGAATCCAATAGAAGAGATCCCATATTTACCGTTCAATATTCGAGTTCTATACATCTGCGGCACAAACATCGCTCACCTTAGTAGTTTTGTAATGCCAAATTTGCGCGTTTTTTACGCAGATCATTCTCCAAATCTGACCTCTGTACTACTCAATGATTTTGAAAATCTAACAAGCTTAGAGCATCTATCGTTCCGGGACTCTGAGAGGCTTTCGCGAGTGTACCTCAGATCCGATCCTACAGGGATGTTGAGTGCGAAGCTGCTACCTAATTTGAAAACACTGTCCTTGCAGAACTGTGCGCTAGAAACACTGGAAGAGAATCTACTGCCGATAGTACAGAAAACTGCTGCCGTTGATCTGCAAAATAATCCATGGAGATGTGATTGCAATATGAAATGGATCAACACCTTCAAGTTGACCACTGATCTAATAAACAGTTTTAGGTAATTACTATTAGTTTTTAATAAATTGTAGATTCAAAGAATTTTGACAAAAATCTTTATGGACAAAATTATATTGTAATGTGTACGAATATATTTCGAAATTGAAACATAATAATGTATAGAAATTAAATTACTAATAAGCCCTATTGCGAAACTTCAATGTTCAACGTAAAGAATATGTATCATTAGTTTGAGTCGACCTCTCGTAGATGGCAGCTCCTGTACTTACTGCCATTCTAAGGGATGTTCGGAAGCGCCCTTATGTGACTTACGTTTTTATGCAATTGTTCAAACATTTTTTTCATTATTAAATAAATGCTTTTCAAATTGAAATTTCTTTGCTTATTTTTCAGATGTACGTCACCACCGAACCATTACAACCGATTGCTCAACAATATTACAGATGCCGAGCTTGTGTGCAAAGATCCATTCGAGAACAGTGCTAGTTACATTTCTGGTAACACAGGTCGGATCCTCTACTCAACCCTGTTAACTTGTCTCGCTCTGGTGGCTTTTGGTCTGTCAGCGGTCGCCATTGTTTACTATTCGCGTGGTTGCCTTGGCCAATGGATTTCGAAGATGCGACATCAGCGTACTGACACTGTCAGCTACTCCAATTTTGTCGAGTCGCATAACGATATGGTGCAGATTCTACCTAATGGCGACAATCGCGAAGCTTACGAGGCTTGATACGTGATTTTATGGATTGTTTGAAAATATGAGAGAGCTCAGCTTTCGATTGGCACATTTTTGTTAAAAAAAGAGATTTTTATGTAGGTTTCTTGTTAACAATTGTGCATGAATGTATGTATGAGATTAAAGAAAATGTTAGAAATTAAGATATATTGCACTGAAAGTGATGTGATAAAAAGAGAAACGTCCGAAGTTGAAAATGTACTGTATCTCACCAGTTCTCTTTTCAGATGACACTCTAAATCCAAGTAGTTCTTCAACTTATATATATTCTTCCATTATTCACATTATCGCTGTGTATAATGTGCGTAGATAAAGTGTACCGTGTCTCAGCAGTTTACTTTACAAATGATATTCCTAATGAAAAGTAGTTCTTTAACTTATATATATTGTTTCATTGCTCATATTGTCGTTATATACTCACATTAGAAATGTTCTATAAAATCAAGTATTACGCAAAATTGACTGATGGAATACTTTCTTAACAATAATAAGGATAAGTTTATATTGATAAAGAAAAATAAACCTATATATGGCAACCAACTACCCACTTCAGTTCACGTAGTTTTATGAATCAGCTACTTTACAGCTTATAGTCCCGGCCCTTCAACAGCACGCACACACAAAAATATTGCTTGCCAACTTGTACTCCATAAGTGCATCATTAACACGTAAACCCTTTTATTCGCGACCACATACTAAGCGACGGTATGGTTCGGGTAGGCTCTCAACGCTCATGGTGCAATGATGATAGAAGCTTTAGCACTTTAGGGCTCAAAGCAGTGTTCTCGTGATGCCATAGTAAAGGACTGACGAACAATAAAGCCGAAAGTCTACATATACAAGACGAAACTTGACAGATCAAAAGGGCCTTTGTACGCGCACAAAGACTTGACCGTGGTTTATTTCAAAATGACCAGTCATATGCCTAAATACACGATTGTTTTCTCAAAATAATCATTTTTGCAGAGCAAATTATATACATTAACGCGTCGATTTTCGAATAAGACATTATGTTCTAAGGATAGCGCGCATTCACGAGCCAAGATTATAGACACACACTCAGCGAACTACTGACTGATTTTGTAAACGATTATATGCGTATTACACGCGGTATAGCTGGCGCACATGTGCATTAAGGCACACAGCCAACTGGTGTAGCTGTGGATCGTCATTTTGTCTGACGTGCTTCTCGATCGCGTGCGATGTGGCGATCAGCCTTTGTATCGCGCTAAAGTTTACCGATGATGATCTTCCTATACGCATATAGAAGCCTATATATATTAGGTTACACACTCTGTTCTGCCTCCGTAGCTACGAGTGCGAGCCCCGCCGGTGAAAACCCAACTCCGCAGCCGCATGCTTACAATACCGCAGAGATTGACGATTCTTTCAATGCAACAATTAATTCGGAACTATGTTCAACTTTCATTTACTATTCGAGTACAAGAGAAATTTTTTGTCGTACTTGACTGCTCGAAAATAGGATTACGCAAATTCGGGTATTCGAAACGGAGTTTTCTATCGAAACTGAGCCAAGACAAGAACTAGCAAATTTGGACAGCCCACATCCACAGTAATCGACTGTTCCAAAAGATGAGCAGCTTTGTCGGCGGTGTGTATCGAGTGTCGTCTCCTTGCCACATTGGTGGTAACCCGAGAGCTTCGGAGCCAATTGGCACCAGCATGTAAGTATATTGAAGGACAGCAGCAGCCGTAATATGCGGGGAGAAAAATAATACACGCACGCGTGCGCTGCGATTTCTTCTAGGTATATAGCCGCAGAGAGCTTTTGTCGATCATTATGCACGCCTATTACACTTACAAAAAAAACAGTTCAGATTCTTTGGCCGAGGTTCGGCGTCGGATTTCGTTTTCTCGTCATAGCCTCTTTTTCTTTGGTGCCAGATGAGGATGTTTCGTTAATAATTTATGACGCGCTCAATTGACTTTTCAAAACTAATCATCACTATCAAGTGGTTGTTTCTTTGCTATTTAATAAATTCGTTCCAACTATTCTATTAACGTATAGATAGACGAAAAAACAAAAGAAAGCAACGACTCAACCCTTAAAATCACAAATATTCGTGGTTATACCCATCGAACCAGCACCCGTTGAATACCAACCCTCGGCCATTAGGAACGAGCGCGGAGCTAGCGGCAAAAGTGTATATCCGGATAGGGAGTCTGTGCAATAAGTCGATCGCAGGCGCGCTGATGCGTGAGGCGAGTAATCCCGCGATAGCATCATCATCTCTGTCTTTCTCTCTCTTTCACTCGCCGCCCCGAGGTTTTATTTTCATTATTCATTTGTTGCTGATGTTCCCCATGGACGCGCGCGCGCACGCACGCACACACACACACACACACACACAGGCGCGCGCGCTTGTAGCTTACTCGCTTAAGCCCCGTGTTTCCATGTCAGTTTAATCAGATAAATCCGAGACCTAAAATCGACATGCGTTTTATCTTTTGCTTACGGTATGTACGCATCGAGTGCGCAATATGCGGCGTTGATGTACACAAATGTTTTTTCTTTTACTGTGTAGTATAGCTTTGACACTGCAGTGAGTTTTTTTATGTTTCTCTCGTTTTCTTTTATATGTTCTATTTGGTTTGATGCTCCAAAAACAATAATATGAGTACTTATATTTCAATTGGAGCTTACAGCGTTTCCTCCCTTGCATAATCTTTTCGTAAAGTACTTGGAATAAGCAAAAGTAACGGTTTCAAATCAGTTACTGTTAATGTAACAATTTATTCGTGACAAAAATTTGACGCCTTCCTGATTATCAGAATAACCGAAAATTATTCTTAGGGATTATTTTGTTCGTTAGGATCTAGACCTTGAGACAAGTATCATTTTTTAACACTTACAAGGTAATTTTAGATAAATTATACATATTTTCAATAAAATTTGAGGAGCTACTTTTTAGACGTAGAAAAATAATTTTATTAAAAAGTTAACCATTCATCTAAAAGTAAGGATTCTAACGAATAAAATGAGCTGGCAAAAAGTGGTATTTGTTCGCTATAAGATTCAGGATCGTGCATGGGGCTAAATGATTGTTGGCTAAAAAGTGTTGTATGCGAATAATGAGTTTGTTGGGCGCATATTTGAGATTTGTAAAATTGCAAACATGAAAATGTAAGGTTCGTCCGAGTGCTTTGAGGAAAAAGTTTGATGAAGATATATTGATTAGAAGGGCATTTACAAGAGAAGAAAAAAAACTCTCGAATGGTTAAGATCACTAATCCCCCCTGGAATAGTAAAAAAGTTTCGTGTGATTTGAGAATCGATGTAAATATCGTTGGCATAAGACTTGAAAACATAAAAAGGAATGTAAAAATATACATGTCGGAAAGGAAGAAAAGTTGATCGAGCTTATTTGAATTACATTTTGAAATGCAGCAGGCGCGCATATAAAATCCATCCAATAAAGTAGTTTCGAAAATGAGAAAAAAATGGTGTTTACCCATAAAGAAGAAAGCAGCTAAGAAGGTCGCTTATTCGAACTTGTTCGCACCTTGGACAAAGGCAGGTCTATACGATACGTAAGCTGCGGCTCTTGCCGCAGAGGCCATTGAAAACGTCGACGCGTTCTCGCTTGGCGAGCGACGGAAAGAAGAAAAGTGCACTTCTTTCTCGTTCCGTGCACGCGCGCGCTCTAGGGCATTGTATATCAGCGGGGTGTGGTGATCGCGTAGCAAGCCGCTTACAATCAATACGTATCCACAATGGTTTTACAAAAGTGCAGCCTCTGGACAATACGAGCCGCACGAAAATCGCCTTCCCGCAGACCGCTGCGACCAATATAATGGCTTGTTTACTTTTAAGGCTGCCTAGCGCTCTGAATTTCCAGGCTGCTCTTTGGATTTTGACTCTTTTTTTTCCTCTTTTTTTCTCTTTTCTCTCTCTTTTTTCCTCCTTTGCCCTAGATTTTCGAACGTTGCCCGGTCTTTGCTGGTTCATTGGTACTTTGGATCTTGCTACAGAGCTTGCACAAAGCTTCGCATACACAACTGACGCGCACTCAACGAATGATTCCGAGATTGTTCAAAAGCATTTCAATGTTTTCTTCTTTGCTTTATCCTCCGCATTGAGTGTGCTCAATTCCATCGACAAGTGCGTATAATATGTTGCAGAGGTACACTAGCTATCTTCGGAAATTTCAGCGCACTCGAGAGCTAATTTTCAATGTCACGATGTCACGTGCGAGAGAGAAAATTCGCGTCGATTCGGTGAGTCTGGTGCCAAACCACGAGCGGCATCCTCGCAATTTGAAGGCAGGCACGTTCCTAGCCTGCAGCGTTTTTCGCGCTCCGTTCTCTTATACATATATACCTTTGCGGCTGCCGCTATACTTCTCTCTACGCTTTATCGTCAAGGCGAATCTTCTTTTCTCTCTTGAGCGAGCGGAAGACGCAAAAGGGGCAAAAAGTAGCATAAGTTTCGCTTCGTGCCTCTCCGTTGTTTGACAGTTGCTTACGTTACGGATCCTACTTAGAAGCTTTCGACGGTAAGTCGCTCGGATCTTGATTAGGGCTGGTGTTCTACTTTTTCGCACGCGCACGCAGTCCAAAAAGAACGAGCCACGTTTTTCCGAGCGGCTTGGCGGCGTTTTAGTCGCTAGAAGAAACTAAACACCCCCTGGAAAAGAGGCCATTTCGTGCGAGACTAGAGGGACTGGAATGACGATTTAAGTAGGTTCGGTTCCAAAAGATTGTCGCTTTTGCGTCTGTTTTTGTGGCCGCGCGCCTTAGTTGTTGCTTTTCAAGTCGACCCTCCCACGGGTTTTTGAATGATTTTTACACTGGCGATCGTTTCCAGCTATTTTCAATCACGAAAAAAGCATCCAAAGCCAAATCCAAATCCAAGACGAATCTGGCAACGAATCTTTTCAACAAATTGACCCTTTCATTTTTTGGTCGACAAATAAGCTCGCGACAATTATCCATAAACTTAGCATTTTTTTAAGCACCACTAACTACTCTGC